GAAACCAGAACTCTTTTCTCCAAAGCCAGCCATAAAACCTAAAGTGTTATTCTCATTGTATCCCCCCGCCTTTCTGTGTGAAAACCGGCCACGAAGAAACGGTCTGGCCTGCCTTGTTTGACCGTAGGTCCTACGACCCCCATTCCAGAGAGGGGCCTGCCCCACACCCAGAATGAAGGAGTGCTGCTCAGACAGGCCAGAAGATTCTGGGCAGACAGGCCCTGCTGGGGTTCCCACGCAGTCTGTCAGCACCCAGTCATACCCCTTTTTCTCCAATCCCGTTTCTACCCGGCTCTCCACACTTGGTTGAACCTAAATATTAACATGGTCAATGCCTCCTGTATCTTTGGGTGCTCATTCTGAAGATTCTTGTGTACGCACGTTAAATAAATGCGTGCGCCTTTTCTCCTATTACTCTGCCTGCTGTTGTTTTTTCAGCGAAACTCAAGAGGCCCAAGGGGAAAACTCTCCCTTGGCCCCCACGAAACCCATCTGGCACCAAGGGCCTCACGCAGGGACTGCAGACCTCTGCGGAGCCGGCGCCCAGGCTGAGCTCAGTCCTGCTGTGCTGTGAGGTGATGGTCCCTGCACGTCGGAAGCCACCTCTTTGCCGGATGGGTGTGAACTGTGACCCCGGCCCTTGCTCACCCTTCTTTGCCATTGTGCCACCTCTTGCACACCCCTGGGTCCCTCAGGGCTCTCCTGTCTGTCACCACAGCCAGCTCCATGTGGCCCGACCACCCTCACACAGATGCGCCCAGAAGGCCTGCCCTGGAGCCCACGCCCTGATGCCTTCTCCGCCTGGGCCGCCCTGTGGGTGTGGTCGCATGGCCTCGGCACATGCAGCTGGACACATGCACTCTGGCATCCCACGGAAAGGAGCTGAGACCAATGGGCCACGCGCATCAGCCAGTAAACATTCCTTCCTGCTCTACTCAACCCCACAGACAGCCCTGAGATGCACTTGGTACCTCCACTCAGACAGCCCTGCAGGATGGAGCTCCAGTGGCCTGTCCCAAAGGCCAGCACGCTGGGGCAGTGGTGCCTGCGCTCGCTCTCCTCACTGCCCGGCCCCCATCCCTCACTCCTCTTCCCTGGGATGAAGCTCCTGCATGAAGAACACACATGTGAGCCTTTGCCTCAGGCTGTGCCCCTGACTGGGTCAGCCACATAGGAAATTCCCACAATGGTTAAGTTGGAATCTGCGAGCAGTAACAAGAAGTTTGTTCGTGCATCCTTTAAACCTACACCTTGCTTCTATTAATGAACCAGGCATTAGCACCAGGCACCAGGAAGGGGAAATGCAGGCCCACGGACCAGGTCCTTGAGTCTAGCTGGGAAGGGGGAGGTCAGAAGACAGAGGAGGAAAGAAATCAAGAGAATGTATTTACGGTTTGCAGAAGGTGCTGTGGAACTCCAGGGGGGTTCTCACTGCTCCATGTGCTAGTCAGGGTGCGAGGCAGCTGGAACTCCCACACATGCTGTGGGAACGCAAAGGGGTTGGCCTCACTAGAAAACGGGGTGGCAGTTTCTTTTAAAATAAAATCCACACCCACCGTATGACACAGCAGCGCCACTCAAGAGAAGGAAATCCACCCAGAGAATAAAAACCGAAGTTCACAGAAAACCATGTACTCAGAAGTGTCTAGAGTAGCTTTTTGGGTTTGTTTTTGTTTTTGTTTTTCTGAAATAGGGTCTGGCTCTGTCACTGAGGCTGGAGTGCAGTGGTGCGATCTCAGCTCACTGCAACCTCCACCTCCCAGGCTCAAGCAATCCTCCTGCCTCAGCCTCCCAAGTAGCTGGGACTACAGGCACACACTATCACGCCCAGCTAGTTTTTGTATTTTTTGTAGAGACAGGATTTTGCCACGTTGCCCAGGCTGGTCTCGAACTCCTGGGCTCAAGCAGTCCACCCTCCTTGGCCTTTCAAAGTGCTGGGATTACAGGCGTGAGCCACCACGCCCAGCCAAATGCAATGAACTACTGATGCACAGAGCAACTTGGGTGCACCACAGAGGCATTACGCTGTGTGAGACAAGCCAGTCTCGAACAGTGGCGTACGATCGGATTCTGTGTATACGACAGCCCCAAAAACACAAGACCATAGGGATGGAGACAAGATCAGTCCTTGCCAGGACCGGGGGAGGGTGGCCACGAAAGAACAGCTGAGAAAGGTCTGTAACGGAGCTGTCCTGTACTCTGACTGCAGTGGCAGTTACATAAATCTACTTATGTGTTAAAATCCATAGAAAGCTACATCCAAAGGAAAAGTCAGTTTTGCTCTATGATAATTAAAAAAAAAAAAAAACAAAGAGAAAGAGTCAATGCTGTGTCTAGTTTAGGATTCTTAAATGAAGGAATGTTATCTGATGTCACATTTTGTTTCATAACGCGTTATTTTTTCATGACAGCACCCTGTGTTATATGCAATTACATTGTGTTATAATGTCACGTAGTGGACAGTGTGTGCACTGTATTAGATGATGTCATGTGTTACATCATGCACATCGTGTGATATGACGTCACTTCTGTTATATGACATCACATTGAACAAGGCTCAACTTCCACAGCAGGACACACTGAAAACAGAACTTCTGGCCGGGCGTAGTGGCTCACGCCTATAATCCCAGCACTTTGGGAGGCTGAGGTGGGAGGATCACCTGAGGTCAGCAGTTTGAGATCCGTCTGGCCAACATAGTGAAACTCCAGCTCTACTAAAACTACAAAAATTAGCCAGGAGTGGTGGCGCATTCCCGTAATCCCAGCTACTTTGGAGGCTGAGACACGAGAATTGCTTGAACCCAGGAGGCAGAGCCTGCACTGAGCTGAGATTGCACCACTGCACTCCAGCCTGAGCAACAGCGTGAGACTCTGTCTCAAAAATATTTAAAAAAAACACTGTTACATGTAAAAAAATTAAAAAGAAAACAGAACTTCGCCAAAGATAAATGATCACGTTGCTACTGGCTGAAGCCCTGGGAAGATCTTGTGTCCATTTTGCCCCCTGTTCTATCAGAAAAGTTCTTATCACTCTAAGGAAACTGTATTCCATTAAAATATATGCCAATCAAACTCTTCTCCTAGCCAACCTAACTTATCTTGATGAATATGCAAATATCTGGATCCCCAGATAAAATCACCTGAACGCAAACCCCAACTAAAAACAAAACAGGATTTAAAAGCAGAAAATAAACACGACCATCATCCACAGATGTAACAACCACACAAAAGGAGATGAGACATTTTGTAAAACAATGTAGACTTCCCGGCTAAAAGTTTCATAGTAACCAAGATTTTTAAAGTCCATATAGTTAAAGATGTGACTTTAAGTATTAAAGTATTGTTTTTTATACAAGGACTGTTGCCAAATGTTAATAAAATTGAATGCAAGCTCTTGTATCTTTTTAGTTTTTAAAATGCCTGCTATGTTCTTCTAAAGTAGACTCTCAAATAAGGAGCAAAATTATCTGTGAACACCTAATGGAACCTCTCTGCCCACAAAACACTAGTTTTTTTAAATGTGTTTAATTACCAGTGGTGACTACCTAACATTCTTGTAGTCATTAGGTTTCTAATGTTAAAATTACATTCGGCCTGAGGTGTAATGAAAAATAATTACACTGCAGCAATTTCTAGATGTAGTCCACCAAATACAATTGAAATTCACAGTACCGTTACCACTCCAGCTTTGGATCATTACCTCATCAGGATTCTAAGCAGACCGGCTCTCAGGTGTGGATATATAATACCTGCCAGCTTGAACCAAGCCCAGGACACCTGGCAAGTCGGATTTGAAATTATCAAGGGAAAGAAATTGAGGGGCTGTGAATACATAACATAAAGCTGGACCTCCAGTCAAAAGCACGTACATCATGTGTTGTATGAGAATCTAGAAATGTGGCTTTTTTATATAAGAGAAAAGGAAAATCAACTTCTGGCCCATGAATTTCTGATGGTTTCCAGGAACCCCAGAAGCAATGATGTGGTGCGGATCACTGAAGCTTGCGGCATTATCCATCTATTTTACATAATTAAGAGGCTTCGCTTTCTACGGCAGCTGCACTCCTCAAATTTCACAGTGAATCAAGGTTTTATACAAAATAAGATAAAAGTTGGATATTTTAACCATCTTAGCAGAACTCACTTTTGAAGGAAAACTATGGGTAAAGCTTTGGTAAAAGAAAAGACTGTGACCCCACCTCAAATTTATGCTTCTTATAAACCTACACTTTCATGTGGGTGGGTTTTGTTTTGTTTTCAGTAAGGACACCAATGGAGATGACTGTGAAATTGACAAACGCCTAGGAGAGTGGAGAACGTTTATGGAGGGTGGAGGAGGCCAGGGGTTGACAAGCTCTGTGGTGAGCTCCCCCTGAGGGAGCCACATCTCAGGTGGGGACAGGTCCTGGCCATGACACAGGCTAGAGAAAGTGGAGAGGTCTGAGAGCCATGGGTGTGGTGAAAGTGGGAGAAGAGAAACCAACAGTGGCTGGTGGGAGAACAGTTTCATGGGCCAGATGCACCCTCAGACGAGGCAAGTGGGCCCTGCAGAACGCTGACCATTCGCCAGAGCTCTCCCGAACTCCTGAACAGGCTGTCACCTAACTGGCACGGCAGGCGGCACAGAGGGCAGCGCTGGCCTTGCCCACATGGCTCCTGTCTCTTCTGGGAACCATGTACAGATGTGGTTATTAACTACAATAGACAGGACAGTGCCCACTCTACATTCCTCCTCATGGGCATCCCTGGAGGGGCCGAGGACCCATGGCACAGAGTCTAAGGGGCTGGAGACGCATCTCTCTCTCCCTCCCTCCTGCCCAGGAAACCAAAAGGAAAGGCGCCTTCTTCCCAGGGCGGGCTGCCCACCCTCCATCTCAAACCTCTCTGGCCTCCCACCAGCCCAGCTGCCTGTGGGTGAAGTCAGTGTCTGGGAACAGACTCTGAAACCTTCCCATCCAGAACGTGACAAAGCCTATGAACAAAAGCTAAATTAGACTCACCAAGATCAAGATGAATGCCAGGGACAAACGAATTGAGGAAAAACATGAAGATAACAAATCCCAACACGGTCAGGCATTTGGCGAGCAGGATCCCGTCGGATATCCTATGCTGTAAGAGAGAAACCACAGCTCATTGTCTCTGCACAACCCTCTGACTCCTGCAGGGCGTCATAACCTACGCAACTGGAATCATGACAGATTGCACAATGATGAAAAATGTGACCTCTCAAACTTGAAAGAAAATGACAAAGTACTGTGTTACAAGGAAAACCGTGCAGATTCAGGATTACTGCATTCAAAATCTTTATGAAAGATAAACACAGCAGATGTCAAGAGTAGTACAGCCCTGTTATGAAACACCTGGCCAGCAGGTATCAGAGGATGACGGGGCATTTCTACAGGCACCTGTGGTGGCAGCGCCGTCTTCACTGTTCCTTTCCCTACTATGCCAAGCATACAGGCAGGGCAATGAGGCTGAGCCTTCTCACGGAACTGTGACTCCCAGATAAGGCTCTGGTCATGCTCTTGACAGGACATGCACGAGGCCCTTGGAACGCAGGCGGTGCACTCAGCGCTGGGATGACACCCACGGGAATCCGCCCAGTCACAGGGGAAGGGCAGGCCCTGAGGCATCTCATCCTCTGCAAGGCCTCCATCAACCTGGGAGTCAGCACAAGACAGGGCTCTCCCTGTGAGGCCTCAAGGGTACTGTGCCCCACAGGCCACGGCTGCAGGGGGCCAGGGCAGGGAAGCATGCACAGATGGGCACCTGGTTGGCCTGCCCTGTCAACCAGGTCTCCGTGGAGACAGAGTCTCGCTCTGTCACCCAGGCTGGAGTGCAGTGGCACAGTCTCGGCTCAACGCAACCTCTGCCTCCCAGGCTCAGGTGATCCTCCTACCTCAGCCTGCCTCCCAAGTAGCTGGGACTACAGGTGTGCACCACCATGCCCAGCTAGTTTTTGTATTTTTAGTAGAGACAGGGTTTCACCACGTTTCCCAGGCTGGTCTTGAACTCCTGGGCTCAAGCAATGCTCCCACCTCTGCCTCCCAAAGCGCTGGGATTACAGGTGTGAGCCACCACGCCTGGCAAGCATCAGATCCTTTCTTGAGTCTGGTCCCACCAGCACACCTGTCTGCCCATCTGTCTACCCACCAGCACATCTGTCCACCCATCTGTCTACCCACCAGCACACCTGTCCACCCACCAGCACATCTGTCCACCCATCTGTCTACCCACCAGCACACCTGTCCACCCATCTGTCTACCCACCAGCACACCTGTCCACCCATCTGTCTACCCACCAGCACAGCACATCTGTCCACCCATCTGTCTACCCACCAGCACATCTGTCCACCCATCTGTCTACCCACCAGCACATCTGTCCACCCATCTGTCTACCCACCAGCACACCTGTCCACCCATCTGTCTACCCACCAGCACACCTGTCCACCCATCTGTCTAGTCTGTCTAGGTGGATAGATGCAGACAGCAACGATGACAGGTGTTGACATCTGTAGCTTTGTAGATGCAGGTGGATCTAGACATCTGTCATCACAGCAGTCTACAGCTATCTGGATTTGGACAGACACAGACATGTAGATACAGACACACAGAGGTAGAGCTAGAACTACAGAGAGATTTTCTCTCTTGCTTCCTCTGGTCACATAGGTAAAGCTGCTGCCATCAAAAACACATGTAAGCCCCTCCGTGTCACAACAGCTCTGACACAGCCCCTCCACCATGTGCAGTGAGGCCACTGGTGAGCATCTGCCCCTCTCTGCCCACTGCAAAGGCTCATGGCTCGGCCAGCCCCTCCTCATCCTCCCCGTCACCCCTCTGGGGAAGGCTGATGTTCCTGCATGATTCCGTGCTGAACAATCAGGACCACAGGAGCATGGCAGGAAAAGGATTTGAAATGCTCAGAGGAGAGTGATGTGGGTTCTCACCAGGCTTTGAAGGGAGGCACTGCAAACCTTCCCTGAGGTCCCAGCAACCACAGAAAGTGGCTATTGCCACGGCCAGTGCGAAGATCGGAGGTGGAGGAGCGGGCAGGTCCAAGAGCATTCCAGCATCCTGCAGCTCACGGAAGTGGAGAGTTTTCGGGCGGCATTCACATTCGCTCCTTCTAGATACCTGAGGTCATTTCTTTTTTCTTTTTTTTTTTATTTCAATAGGTTTTGGGAAGACAGGTGGTGTTTGATTATATGGATAAGTTCTTTAGTGGTGATTTCTGAGATTTTTGGTGCTCCCATCGCCTGAGCAGTGTACGCAGTACCCAATGTGTAGTCTTTTATCCCTCGCCCCACTCCCACCCTTCCCCCCAAGTACCCAAAGTCTATCATATCATTCTTATGCCTTTGTGTCCTTGTAGCTTGGCTCCCACTTATAAGTGAGAACATACGATGTTTGGTTTTCCATTCCAGAGTTACTTCACCACTGGTCTCCAAGTTCATCCAGGTTGCTGTGAATGCCATTATTTCATTCCTTTCTATGGCTGAGTAGTATTCCACGGCACACACACACACCCCTAGGGTCGCTTCTGTAAGAATTCTTAGATGTGATACAGGGATGCTGCCAAGGCTTACCTCTCCATTTCATCTCACCGTAGTCCTCGTGCAGGTGCACAGAGAGGCGCACAGTTCTTCTCCAGCTCACGACTAAAACACCACAATCTAGCAAAGCAGGCATCATCTGTATGGACTTGGGGCCTGCAAGAGTATCACAGCTACACCTTTCTTTTCTAACCCTGACCGTCTACATAGGACAGAGTGTGAAGGCACTGAGGCACCTCATCAGATCACATCCAACATCTTTATGGAAAATAGACACGAGAGACGTGAGGTGTGCTGAAGCCCCGTTAGGAAACACCTGACTCGCATGTGGAGTGTGCCCGTCACAATTAGAGCGGGTGTTCAGTCTCTCCCTAGAAGATAAACCGCACAGATCTGAAACGTCACCGAGATGCAGATGACTCCCAGCAGATCTCGCGCAGAGCTCTCTCGACTGGGTAGGGGCCCTCTGTGCTCATAAATGGGCTGAGAAAGAGCCAAAAGAAAAGAAAACAAAGCTCTGCCCCAAGAAGTCGGAGCCGTCGGCAGGACACTCACGCATCCTACGTCCGTCCCTAAAGCTGCTCCACTTCACGCAGCACGCCTCGCCGTCCCCTCAAAGTGTGAACTCGGGCCTGCCCTTCGGGGCCAGGAGAGGGCTGGTGGTCAGGGACACCCGCTCAGAGGGCAGGCCCCGCAACGCGCAGGGAAAGGGGAAGGCCCTACGAAGACGCTCGCTTTCCACGTCCTGACAAGATCAGCCTGCTGTCTCCGGAAAACATGTCTCCCCATTCACCCAAACACAGAAATTGCAATGTCCCGTGTACGACCACAGAAATAAAAAGAGAAACGGCGTTCAATGTCTCGTGTACGACCACAGAAATAAGAAGAGAAACGGCGTTCGGTCATGTGAAGGAAAGGAAAGGCATCGCTCACTCTCTTCTTGGAGAAGCGAATCAGAAATCCCTGAGAAAAGAGAGCTGCGTACCTTTTTCTGGAGTTCCTGGATATTGGTCTCCCAATTTTTGTCCTCCTGTGAGATCTGTCTGAAAGAGAAAAGAAGAGACTCATTACTTCCCTGGTCACGTGGAGCAGCAGCCCCAGCACTTCGTCCCTGGACGCCGTCTGCGACATGGCCTGGTAGGACTAGTCATGGGGGGCCAGTGGGCTTCACTGGTTGGCTGAAAAGGGCGCTCACTCTATCTTTTCCCAAAAAAATACATATAATGGCCTGAATGACGAAAGAAGTGCGTGTGAGGAGGTGTGTGGGACAGCGTGCGCACGGGACGCTTCATGAAAACCCCACATCCGCACACGGACAAAGGCAGCGACCGTCAGCCTCTTTATTTTTCTCTTTACGTGCACTTCTACGTTCCCGAATCTCTTTGTTTCCAAGATGAGGGCACTGAACCTGCACAACTCTTACAACCAACTAAAGAAAAACATGGTAAAAGAAATGTCACTTGCTTTAACGTTGATTTTCATCAATCAGTGATCACCTCCACGCCTGAAATCCGAGGACTTTGGGAGGCCGAGGGGGAAGGATCGCTTGAGGTCAGCGGTTGGGGAAGATCGGCTTTGAAGGCTTTTCTGTCTGTGCTGCTCCTGCTGGGGTGGCCTCCTCCCGCCTGTTTCAGCCCCTTTAGTGGCTCCCACTTGCCTCTCCTTTTCCATGTTTCTGACTCAGCCCGCCCTTCTAGCTGACTTCCTCCTTCACCAATTAGGGAAAAGGGGCTGCACAACGAAGAATGCAGTTTTAGTATCAAAGGAGGCTGACCTCACAGCCGGTCTGGGCCGTAAAGAATCACAGCAGACACAGTCGAATGATTCTGAGGACAATTTTTAAAAAGAAAATGTAAAAATAAGACCTGCAGGCAGGCACGGTGACTCACACCCATAATCCCAGTACTTTGGGAGGCCAAGGTGGGCAGATCACCTGAGGTTGGGAGTTTGAGACCAGCCTGACCAACGTGGAGAAACCCCGTCTCTACTAAAAACACAAAATCAGCCAGGCGGGTTGGCACCTGCCTGTAATCCCAGCTACTTGGGAGGCTGAGGCAGGAGAATTGCTTGAACCCAGGAGGTAAAGGAGGCAGAGGCTGCGGTGAGCCGAGATCGTGCCACTGCACTCCAGCCTGGGCAAGAAGAGCTAAACTCTGTCTCAAAAAAATAAAAAAATAAAACCTGCAGAGCCCAACCTTGCCTTAGGACACCTTCATGGTAATCTGCTTCTCAGCAACTGTGTGGTCTTGGGAAGCCACGCCCTCCCCAGGTCTCCGTTTCCCCATGTGTGACTAACACCAGATGAGCTGATGGGAACGTGGTGAGCCTTGGAGCCCACGTTTCCTCACGTTTGTAACCTGAGATGCACTAAGTGTGTCTTTAACACCCAACACAGGACAATTTATTCTACCTCTAATTTATGAAGCGTCTTCCTTTAAGATCTGCGCCTGCTGCCAAAGGTGGTCACTTTTTCCCCAGCCTGCAACTCAGGGCCTCCCTGTGGCCTGAGGACACTGGTCCTGCTGCTCCAGCACTGCTGGGCGAGGTGGGTCCTGGGCCGGGGATGGAGCCAATGCCACAGAGCCAGCACTTCCTCCCGGGATTGTGTGGGACTCCGTGGGAATGCCTGGGAATCGTCCCACCAACAGCCAGACCCTGAGACACCCATGCAGGGCGACCCCTCAGGGCTCAGCAAATGGCAACATGCAAGACCATTCTAGACTTTGTTCATAAGGGTTCACATTTCCCTTTGCCTAGATGGACACCTCCACCCACTCGTAGCTCAGCTGTGGGGACGCTTCCGCTTTGGCATCCCTTGGGGGGTCACCAGGCTCCTGCTTCTTCTGTCTGAGCTTCCAGAACAAAGACTGCTTGGAACTCAGCACCATGTCACAGCAAGGAGAAAAAACACCAATTCATGGTTACCCTTTAAGTCCCAGCTTCGATTAACAACAAACGCCAGGTAACAAATTGAGTGGGGCTTTCATAGTCTTTCGGGTGCCTGAAAATCAACTACTGGCAGAATATTTTGTCCGATTAGTCTTTGCATTAATGGTTTTTTGTTTTTGTCATGCAACAATTACCATGTGGAGAGATGGGACAGCCCAGCGGTTGAGACTGTGAGCTCCATCCCCAGCCGCCACTCCTTCCAAGCTGCACAACCCTGGGCACGCTGCTCAAACTCTGAGCCTCTGGTTTTGTGTTTCGTTTTGTTTTGTTTTGTTTTTGTCCTTAAACTCGGCTGTGTACCCCCTGCAGAGCTCAGTGAGGGTTAGATAAAATGCACTTAGCACAGTGTGTGTCACCTAAAAATCACGTATCAGTATACAGCTAGTGTCGCTGTTTTATAGGGCCATGGAACGTTCTGCTGCACACCGGCACACTCTGAGCAGCACCCCGCCCCGTACCTGTGGAAGGTGTGCAGCCTCCGGGCGAGCAGGTGCTCCAGGGCCAGCACCTTCCCCAGCAGCAGGCGGCGCACGGCAGTCTCCTCGCGGCTGGCCGGGCTGATGCGCTGAGCGGTCAGGCGCCAGACGTGAATCTCGTGCTTCAGTTCTGCAGAGAAAGAAAAGGGAAGCTTGAGTCTCCCATGACCTCAGACATCAGCAACACCCTCCTCTGCTCCCCACACAGCCGAGGCCTGATGAAGCAGACACACACTCGAGACGTGCAGGTAGCCCAGGGTCACCCAGAGCTTCTCAGTACCCGAGCTATTGCCATGCAGCCCAGATGACAAAGCTGACATGTAAAAATTATCACAAAAGCGAAGTAAGACCATTTCAACCCTTTCCGTGAAGAATAAATTCCTTTCTTGAACAAACACATCAAAGCTAGCGCCCGACAACCTTTTCCCCTTCTTGCAGGAAATATTTTGGATCTGCTTCCAGCCAAAATCTAGACATTGCCCAATCTTTGAGGGGGTTTGAGGAGCAGATCTAGTGACAATTGAAAACACAAGTGTAATTCTCAGGAGAAGGTGCTCAGGGCTCTCCAGCAGGGCATCTGGTAAGTGGCATAAGACAGGGAGGCGCCCTCCAACCAGGCCCCACTGAGCCTCTAACACAGGCAAGAGAGAGGCAGACGACCTGAGGAAATGCTGAAATCTACAGAACGAGCAGAATTTTCACCCATCACTGAATTCAGACACCTTCTGATAGAGAAGAGTAGAGAGAAATGATGTGTCAACTCATGGCCTCTTAAGATATTCAAATATTTCATCCTGGCTAACACGGTGAAACCCCGTCTCTACTAAAAAATACAAAAAAAAAACTAGCCGGGCGAGGTGGCGGCGCCTGTAGTCCCAGCTACTCGGGAGGCTGAGGCAGGAGAACGGCGTAAACCCAGGAGGCGGAGCTTGCAGTGAGCTGAGATCCGGCCACTGTACTCCAGCCTGGGCGACAGAGCGAGACTCCGTCTCCAAAGAAAAAAAAAAGATATTCAAATATTTCATGAAAACCTACATTTAACCTCTATTTTACTGTTAAAAACATGACATACGTTTCTTGAAATATCCATTAAAAGAATATAAGAAAGCACAATATTTTCATGAACCACCCCTTACATGCAATGCCCCACACTACCTATCACACAAATTAAAGATGAAAAGACAAAGCCTTTCAAGCAAGCGCTGGGGCACCGGAAGAGCAGTTCAGGGCAGATTCAAGGCGATCACCCAAAGACCCGGGAAGCAGCACGGACACGGTGGGTTCAGTGGAAAGGGGAAATGCCACCTTTCAGCCCCTTCTGCTCAGGACGCGAGTGCTCCTCACCCACGGCGTGGCAGACCTACTGCAACAACAAAGACGAGTTAGGCAGAGGGAGGCAGTCTGGAAACGAAGCATGCGGAGACTCAGAGAGAACGCACAGAGCCTGGGAGCACCAGACTATTCCAGTTAGCACACGGCTTTCTCTAAAGCTTCAGCCCTACCAGGATGAAACCTTTAGAACTAAGATACATAATATGTTTTCATTCAGCACATATCAATGCTTTGTAGCTTTACTAAAATAAAAGAAACTTGGGTGTAATTCACAGGCCTCTTCAGAGAAACAGATCCATCATTTCCTCTTGAAAAGTCTCACGCTTCGTTAAACCACCTATGAGGCTATGATAACATAAAAAGAAAGGGGGAGAGGAAGTGAAGGAAAAAACTAATGAACTCGCTCTCTGAAACACTGAACACAAAAACACCATCTGTGGAAGGTCTCCAGAGTGAGTTCAGACGGAGCCAGTATTTCACCCAGTGCTCTAAATACTGCTAAAAGCCCGTCCACAAAGTACCAGAGACTCTCCGGCCGTTCTCTAAAGGCATCGCCGTGAAGGGCCACCTTCTGAAGCGGCTCGTCAGCTTTAAAAGGCTCACACCTCTGCATGGTTCATCTCTGGTGCCAGCTGCTGGGTGCAGGCTGGAAGTCTCTCCACGCCTTTATGCTGGAGAAGCAGAGCCTGGGAACCAAGGCTGTGTTGGTGGAGCCGGCCTTCCAGTCCCTGTGCAACGACTGCAGGTGCTTACTCTCCAGGGCAGCCTCAGCCACCTTAGTGTGCACCCAGCACCTACCTGCCTTCTAACCCATCAAACCAAAAAGGATGTGCTGCTCTACTCAGATCAACCCACGCATTAATACTCAGGTAATACGCTTTTGTCTTCCTAGTTGTGGAATGTAATACACAAATTAGGAAGGAATTTAGTAGGAAGGGATTTTGCCCAGGAGAAGGGAGCTCACTCCATTAACCCAGAACTCAGCTTACCAAAACCTGTCCACGTATCAGTTCCCAGGCTTCCTCTGCACCTCCTCTTCATTTCCCCACCCTGTCTACTCTACCGAGGTCCAAGACCACAGACCCAGCTGGCTGCCAATATTTCCCTCTGAACCGTGTGCTGCAAACTCATAGCTGAACACTTTATCTTCCTCCCATAAAGTCTCTCTCCTACCCTTACCTTCTTAGTTTTTATATAATGCAATTGTTCTTCCGGGAACACAAGACTGAAATGTCATCCTGGTCTTGTCAATGTCATTCTCTTTTATATTTCCACGTTAACATTATTGTGTCACAGGTGTCAGATCTGTGTTTGATGCTAAAGGATAAAATTTAATTGGTAAGTTACAAGATGGCCTTCCAAAACTGGAAAGAGATGTAAGATAAATCATAAATAAACATATGCTAGGGCAGTGTGAGCCTCAGGAGCAGCCCAGGATATGCTGGCACAGCTCTTGCCTCATCTGCTTCTTCCTGTCCTAGGTTACCTGCTTGTTCAGGCCTCACCCTCTCACATTTCTTAATTCTTACTGTTCCTTAGTAACCTTTAACTACAGTCACTTCCTACCAATCTGCCCCTGGTTAATCATAAAATACCACTTGTTCTATCTATCTCAGGCCTTTAATCCTAGCACTTTGGGAGGCCGAGGCAAGTGGATCACCTGAGGTTGAGAGTTCGAGACTAGCCTGGCCAATATGGTGAAACCCCTTCTCTACTAAAAATACAAAAAAATTACTGGGCATGGTGGCAGGCGCCAGTAATCTCAGCTACTTGGGAGACTGAGGTGGGAGAATTGCTTGAACCCAGGAGGTGGAGGTTGCAGTGAGCCAAGATTGTGCCACTCCACTCCAGCCTGGGCACAACAGAGCAAGGATCCATCTCAAAAAAAGAAAAATGGCAACAAAAGCCAAAATTGACAAATGGGATCTAATTAAACTAAAGAGCTTCTGCACAGCAAAAGAAACTATCATCAGAGTGAATGGGCAACCTACAGAATGGGAGAAAATTTTTGCAATCTATCCATCTGACAAAGGGCTAATATCCAAATTTACAAAGAACTTAAACAAATTTACAAGAAAAAAACAAACAACCCCATCAAAAAGCAAAGGATATGAACAGACACGCCTCGAAAGAAGACACTTATGCGGTAAACAAACATATGAAAAAAGCTCATCATCACTGGTCACTAGAGAAATGGCAAATCAAAACCACAATGAGATACCATCTCACACCAGTTAGAATGGTGATCATTAAAAAGTCAGGAAACAACAGATGCTGGAGAGGATGTGGAGAAATAGGAACACTTTTACACTGTTGGTGAGACTGTAAATTAGTTCAACCATTGTGGAAGACAGCGTGGCAATTCCTCAAGGATCTAGAACCAGAAATACCATATGACCCAGCCATCCCATTACTGGGTATATACCCAAAGGATTATAAGTCATTCTACTATAAAGACACATACACGTATGTTGACTGCAGCACTATTCACAATAGCAAAGACTTGGAACCAACCCAAATGCACATCAATGACAGGCTGGATAAAGAAAATGTGGCACATACACCATGAAATACTATCCAGCCATAAAAAAGAATGAGTTCATGTCCTTTGCAGGGACGTGGATGAAGCTGGAAATCATCATTCTCAGCAAACTAACACAGCAACAGAAAACCAAACACCGCATGTTCTCACTCATGAGTGGGAGTGGAACAATGAGAACACATGGACACAGGGAGGGAAACATCACACACCAGGGCCTGTCAGGGGGTGGGAGACTAGGGGAGGGATAGCACTAGGAGCATTCGGAGAAATACCTAACGTAGATGACAGGTTGATGGGTACAGCAAACCACTATGGCACATGTATACCTATGTAACAAACTTGCATGTTCTGCACATATATCACAGAACTTAAAGTGTAATTAAAAAATAAAATAAATAAAAATAATTACTTTTTAAATAATTAAAATAATAAAATAAATCTATCACCTTCCTAGATGACAAGAAGATAACTGATATCTAGCTATTATCTTCCTAGATCTATCATTTCCTAGATTAGATGACAGATTATAGATAGATAAATAGATGACAGATAGATAAATTCCTCCTTTCAAATAACCAGTAGTTCCCTGTGGCCTCCAGAATAGAGCTAAAGATGTCAAAGACCTCCAGAGAAGACTCAAAACCCCAAAGGACCAGCACCTTTGTGCTGATTCTGCCATAGAAGTTTCAACTCTTTGTCTTTGCCACTCTAGCCTCTTACTAGGAGACATCGTCAGATATCCCATCTCTTACCTCTCTATCAGCCTCTATCTTTCTGAGCTTCTCAACCAACTTCTGATGGTATTACTTAAGAGTGGCCACATACATGTTTCAAACAGGCAAAGAAAGTGCCGTGTGGATGCGGTCTCACACAGGAGGTGATGGCTTCCAGGGAAGCCTAGAGCAGGAGCTCAAAGCTAGGAATCTCAGGAGAAGCAGCCTAGGCCAGAAAGACAGAAATGGAACTATACTAGTGTTAAGTTCATCTACTGTATGCTAGGTAGTATAACATCGCTTAAAGTTAGTGGTATAATAGTCACTAAAATCATAAAACAGAATTAAAGCCCAAAAAAGTAACAACCAAAAGAGGAGAAAATATAGAATATATTTAAATAATTAATTCAAAAGAAGGCATAAATGAAGAGAATAGTAATAAAGAAGCACAAATATAAAACAATAATATGTTACACTTCAATCACATCACTAAGCACATTAAATATAAATGTCTAAGAGACAGACTATCAGAGTAGGTAAAAAAGCAAGATGCAAATATATGCTGCTTACAAGAACTGTACTTTAAAGACATACATAAGTTAAAAGTAAAAAGATGGAAAAAGATATACCACACTAACACTAGTCAAGAGAAAAATGAAATTGTTATATCAACAACAAAGTATATTTCAGAGCAAAGAATATTAATACGGATCATGAAGATTGTTTTTATAATAATAAAGGTGTTAATTCATCAATATGAAAGAACAATCCTAAATATGTATGTGCCCTAATAGTAAACTTTTAAAATGCATAAAGCAAAATGATAGAATTACAAAGAGAAATAAACAAATCTATAATCACCCTTAGACACGTCTGTATCCATCTCTCAATAATTAATAAAACAAGTAGATAGAAAATCAGCAGGGACGTAGAATACTTGAATAACATCATCAGCCAATCTGACTTAAGCTACATAATTGACATCATTGAACATTCCTCCCAACAAGAGCAGAATACATTTTCATTTCTAGTACACACAGAATGGTTACAAAGGTAGACCACATTCTATAGCCATACAGGTCTCAATAAATTTTAAAGGATTCAAGATTTATGAAATGCATTCTCTTACTATACTGGAACTAAATTAGGTAACTGCAAAAACTTTCCCAAATACTTGGAAGGTAAATAAACCATCTAAATTATCCAAGGATCAAAGAAGAAATAAAAAGATGAATTATAAGATAATTTGGGCCGGGTGTGGTGGCTCACGCCTGTAATCCCAGCACTTTGGGAGGCCAAGACGGGCGGATCACGAGGTCAGGAGATTGAGATCATCCTGGCTAACACGGTGAAACCCCGTCTCTACTAAAAAATACAAAAAAACTAGCCGGGCGTGGTGGTGTGCGCCTGTAGTCCCAGCTACTCGGGAGGCTGAGGCAGGAGAATGTCGTAAACCCAGGAGGCGGAGCTTGCAGTGAGCCAAGATCCAGCCACTGCACTCCAGCCTGGGCGACAGAGCGAGACTCTGTCTCAAAAAATAAATAAATAAATAAAAAGATAATTTGAACTGAATGAAAATGAAATATTTAATAAATTAGTGAGAGGTCACTAAAGTAATAGTTAGAAGGAAATTTAGAGCACTAAATGCCTATAATAGAAAATAAGAGGCACATGAAATCAATAACCTTAGTCTCTAGTTTTAGAAACTAGTGAAAGAAAAATAAGCCCAAAAGTAAGCAGAAAAAAAATAATAAAGAGCACAATAGACATTATTAAAAGAGAAAAAAAACTGTAGAGAAAAATCTATATAATCAAAAGCTGGTTCTTCGAGATCAGTAAAATTGATAAACCAGCCAAAGAGAGAGAGAGAAGACAAACTATCAACATCAGAGATGAGAGATATGACATTATCAAACATTTGATAGCCCTTAAAAGGAAAATGAAAGAATATTATGAACAATTCTATAACAATACATTCAACAACTTAGATTAAATGGACAAATTCCTCGAAAGACACCAACTACCAGAATCACTCAAGGAGAAACAGATTACTTGAACAGCCATCCCTATATGTATATTAAGGGATTTGAATTTGTAGTTAAAAACCTTCCCACAAAAACATCTAGGCCTGTAAATGTCCAAATAAACATTTAAGCAAAAAGTAACAGCAATTCTACAGAAAGTCTTCCAAAAACTTGAAGATGACAAAATATTTCTGTATTCCTCCTATGAGGACAACAACAAAAGACATTACAAGACAGGAAACCACATCAAGATCCCTAATGTACACAAATACAAAATGCTAACAAAGTACTAGCAAGAAGCAGCAGGAGCTGAATATTTGGTGATCAGAGGGACAGGCGCTGGTGATTACTGTTCCTTTCACCATGTATGTCACGCTGTCTCCCATTCTGAGCACCTAGTAGGCTGGCCTGGCCTGGTCCCTTGTGACTGGGTGGAGCCTGCCTGTGTCACTTGATGGCAGAGTGGGCCCATGCCATTCTCTCTGCCTTCAGGGCCAGCCGCTCAGGACTCTAAGAACAGATGATGATCAGGGCCCCTGCCAGGCCACTGGGGAGGAGGCGGGGGGTACAAAGCTAACACGAGAAAGAAAACACAGTTCTGGAACTCACTGCGATTTCAGGGTTCCTTTTTCCCTGCAACAAAACCAAGCCTGTTCTGACACTGCTCTGTAGCTACCACAGGCCTGCTAAACTCAGATCTGTTGAGTGGGGCTTAGGAATCTGCAGTTTTACCAAGGACTCCAAATGTGGAGCCCTCTAGGCCCAACAGTGGCGCAGAGCAATCACCCCAGTCTGCACTGCCGGTCTCAGCACTGCCGCAGGGCTCCAGCTTCGCCAGGTGTGCGCACTCCCAACCATCCCTCCCCACTTCCCTTGGAGCTTTTCTCTGTTCCTTACTCAGGAACGGTGAGGAATTGATTACAGAGATTTATTTTCTATGTATCTAAATCTGTGTATCCCAAATTCTTCTCAAGATTAGACGCTGTGATCACCAGGGAGGTTGGGAGAGGCTGGCACAGTTGGGCAGGATGACAGCTGAGCGCTCCACGAAGGCACAGCTGTGCACACGCAAGCTCCAAGAGACAGGACAATTACCCATAGCGATCACAGTCTCCTTTGCTCTCCCTCGGTTCTAACATTTTCATCAGAAAATGAAACCTATATATTAATTTATCTTACTGTGCATATATTAGTTGATTATAAAACATTCTAAACACCTCTAGCTAGTTGTTACGGGTTGAACTAGGTCCCGGCCCCAGGTAAGACGACTAGACATTCCCAAGAACAATCTCGTTTTGTCAGATGAATCCTGAGGAGGCACACGAAACAATATTTTCTTGATGAGATTTTTTAAACACTCAAATTCTGAATAACATGAAAGTCACATAGATGTGTCTTGGACAGTCAGCATCGGAGGAACTGGAGTATGGCAGGACCATGTCAGGGCCTCCAGCCGTCCGTGTGGAAATGGAACCGGGCTGTCTTATCCAGAACAAAGACAAACTGAGATCCCGTAAAACACAGGCCAGCGGAATCACAGAGGCTGAGAGAGATCAACATACAATCCGTGAGCTCTAAAAACCCCTGAAGAAGAAGAAGAGCGCCTGCATCTGCCGAGCGCTGGTCGCCTGATGCCCCTGTCACCCAGGCAACCTGCACGGCACCCACATTCGGGAGCTCACCAAGGCAAGGCTGGCTGTTTCCCAAATAATCTATTGTTCCTAATACATTCTAGTCAGTAATGATCTCAGTAAAATATCTACTAAAGTGTTTAAGTGATGAAAGTGCAAAATGGTAAGATGGCCCTACGCCCTCATCCTGCTGGCTGGTGCTCAGCATCTGCTGTTTGTTTGTTTGCTTGTTTTTGAGACGCAGTCTCACTCTGTCACCCAGGCTGGAGTGCAATGGCATGATCTCGGCTCACTGCAACCTCCACCTCCTGGGTTCAAGCAATTCTCCTGCCTCAGCCTCCCGAGTAGCTGGGATTACAGGCATATGCCACCATGCCCAGCTAATTTCTATATTTTTAGTACAGACGGGGTTTCACCATGTTGGCCAGGCTGGACTCAAACTCCTGACCTGATTCAGGTGATCCGCCCCGCTCGGCCTCCCAAAGTGCTGGGATTACAGGCATGCGCCACCGCGCCCAGCCTAGCATGTGCTCTTGATTGACAGGGCACATCACCTCCTGTGCCGGGTTATGTTGCTGTATTTGCAGTCATATTTAGCACTCAGGCTATGATACACTATTAGAGCACTACAGTCTATGTGAGTGTGTTTGTGCCATACCCTCACGACTTTAGGAGGTTATGACATGTGAGTTGTACATGGTGGCCATAACTCCCCACATTTTAGCACAGTACACTTCACAGAAAACTGAAGAGGCACAGCTCATGACAGAGCCCTGAAAACACAGTGTATACGAGGAGGCGGACGTGGAGAGTCACTGATACTGAGCATCCAGCAACCCATCGACAGGTACTTCCTGATAAGAACTTCCCCTGGTAAACAAACAATATCATGGTAATGAAATCTGAGCCTACATGAGAGGCACCTGTACTCACCAACAATCTCACTGGGCTCCTTGTTATAAAGCTTTCTGTTCCAGTAAAGCAGTCTGAGGAGTGGAAAGGAGACCAAGAGAACAAGGCAAATCCCAAGGAACATGTGTGCAGTGAATCCGGCAAAGTCCAGGCCCTGGAAATAGACAAGGGGAAATGGAATGGCGACGGGCCTTTCCTCTGCGCAGGCAGCAGCTCCCCGAGTCAGGGTCCAGGGAGGGCCCGAGCCCAGGAGGGAAGGGGCTCACCAGGAGTTCCAGGACCTTAGGCAGAGGTGCTGGAGCCCAACACAAAGCCCAAGGAACACCACAGATTCTTCACCATGATTTTGAAAATTGTTAAGGTTTGTTTCTTTCATGTCAAAAGCCAAAAACCAATTCTTACACAAATGACAAGCTGTCATAGGGAGAAACAAAAACAGGCTACCACATCTAACTGAACCTTGGCTCGGTCCGTCTTCACCACTAGATTGATGCCTTCCCCAAGATAGGGTGAAAAAAGACTGAATGGGACAAAACACTAAACAGTCTGACAATATTTCCCCATTTAAAGGTAAGTTGAATTTTTACACATCTCACTCCATTGGTTTGAAAGAGTCCTCGCGGCTGGAGAGCAGAGCCCTTCGCAGGGCACCCAGGGCCCCTCAGGGCTGGGATCGCTCAGAGCATGGGGACCAGCAGCAGGGATCCAGGCAGGAACCTCTCCTTCCCGGCTTTGCCTGCCTGGGGCTCTGCACATGGCCGGCCACTGAGGGTTTCTTTACAGCTGGGCAAAATCCCCACTAGGTTGATCTGTCCTGGAATAAGTCAGTATCGTCATTGGTTGGTTCTGTTCTTTCACTGACATTGTGCTTTTATACCTTCACCACATCTGGGCAGGTACCTCCTGAGCCCCCAGCAGGACAGATGAGGCTCCTATCCCCATGAAGCTGGCCATCTGGCAAGAACTCAAGGTCTTTTCTGTAGCGTCCACGGATCACATGTGCACAGAGGGGGTCAGAGGCACAGTGACAATGCACGACCATGGGGAGCGACAGGCGGCAGCGTGGAAGGGACAACGGGCAGTCCGGCTCTGCCTTGGGGGCCGTGGGAGCCTCTTACACAGGTAGAGGGGTGACAAGTCACACGGAACATTAGTGAGGATCCCACAACAGGAGTTTGGAAAATCACCTTCCAAAGGTCTGGGTTTGAGTGATTTAAACTATATTAATTGTTCCTTATTAAAATGTATGTATTTTTCTCTCACTTTTAGAAAATAGGTGAAATCACTTTCAACATTGTTAAAGATACAACACAACTAGAGGCCACTATCAATGAAGTTGTGTCAAAGTTTAGAGCTTGCCAATATATAATAATCTGAAACGCTTAATCCCTTGCAGTTACCGGTACATCCAATGGTTGTCCTTGCAAACAGCATTACAAATGACAGACAGAGTTGTATAAGCTAATTCCTCGACAGATAGCAGGGAAACCACACAGAGGTGGGACTCGTGGAATGCTCTGGGTGATCATATAGAAGAATGCACCACTTTTCTGATAGTTCTTCAATGGGGGTATTACATTGAATTTTGTGTTTATCTCTGTAATTCATACCCCAGATACCTGAAAAAGGTCCACGATACTTTCAGGGGCTTATGAAACTGTTTTAAATTCTTCTAAACTCAGAAGCAAAAAAAAAAAAAAAATGAACCGTTGGGTCAGAGAAAATGATTTAAAATATAGTACTAATATATTTATACACTAGCTGGGTCACGAAATGCAATTGTTAGTATTTTTTGAGAAAATGTCCCAAGAAGACAGAAGTACCTATATCCTGATTAATTCTTGGTCCCTTTAGAACATAATAACTATAAAGTTTTGCCCCATTTGAAATGTTCAGGCAATTGGAGAAAAAAGTGATGAGCAGATAAAAGAAAAAAAAAAACTAAGGGGGTCCTGGGTGTGCGTCCACAGCAGAATGACACAGCACTGAGTGAAGCATTTGGTTTCCTCTAGACTTGTGATGGATGGATTCATCAAGTAACAGCAATGCTAAGGGAAAAATCCAAACCGACCATTTTAGGAAACAGGCAGATGCAGTGTGCAGCGGGATGCAGATGTTTGAGCTAAGCTTATTACGTGTAGGTATGTGGGCCTCCCTGCTGCTTTTACATGCCTCTGTAATGTCCTAGACTCTCCTCCTTTGTGTTCCCAGTAACAAAACCACCCACCAGCACACTCACATCAATTCAGCACCTAAACGCACTCTTTCTGCTTCAAGGTGCCACTTCTGCTTTGCATTGTTTTGTTATGGGCTCCACTCAGTCATTTTCTTCTTAATTTTTCCTCATTTGATGGATTAAATAGCCAAATATTAGGCACGTAAACCAACCAAAAGAGGAACCTCCAATCAGATTAGAACATTCAAAGATTCATAATCTACATATATTTAAGGGGACACGCCTGTGGGACTTCGGGCCCACCAATATCATTTTCTAGGAATGACGCTTCCGGCTAGCTCTGTGACAAGTCAGAATGGCTCATTAGGTTGTTAAGGGAGGGGCTCACGCCAAAATAATTTCTTGAATTCTTGCATGTGAAAAACTAAAAAAAAAAGAAAAACTTCTTACGAAGTGTTTAACTGAATCTATTGAATATTTTAGTAAAATATGCATGGTGTAATTTGAAAATATAATCCTGTCTAGACGCTCAGTAAGGAGGGGAACCAGCACCGCAGGAATGGGTATAACAGGCAGATGGGGGGTGCGGGTCTCGCTGCTTGTAAGGGCTCCATCAAGCACGGGTGCAGGGGACCTGGCACACACGGTCTAAAGGAAGAGCCTCTGGCAGAGACATGGATCCCAGCAGGCTGGAAACAGAGCAAGCCACAGAGGGGACGAGCTCTGCTAGCCAACGCTGACCTGAGAGGAGAAAAAGGTCAAAAACGAAGACCCCTGAGTCCACAGATATTGAAGAGGTGTGTGGAAACAAACAAACCAAAAAACAAAACCTGCAAAGGAAATTCAGAGGGGGCCAGAGACGCAGAACGAGGCCCACAAGAGAGAGACACTGTGTAAGTTATCACCCAACGGAGTGGGGGAAAAACAGCAGTGGGGGAGGAGCCAGAGAACTTCACAGCACATGCAACATGGTAGGAACACATGAAAAATGCCCCAGCATGCATGGCATGGTGGGAAAATATGAAGCAGCTTCCAGCACACACAGCATAGTGGGAAAATGAAAAGAAGGTCCCAGCACGCACAGCATGATGGGAAAACATAAAGAATGTCCCAGCATGCACAGTATGGCAGAGAAAGCCAGAAGAACACCCCAGCCCGCACAGCATGGTGGGAAAACGTGAAAAACATCCCAGCACACACAGAACGTTGGGAAAACATGAAGAACGTCCCAGTACGCACAGTACGGCAGGAAAAGCCTGAAGAACACCCCAGCCCGCACAGCATGGTGGGAAAACGTGAAAAACATCCCAGCACACACAGAACGTTGGGAAAACATAAAGAACGTCCCAATACGCACAGTACGGCAGGAAAAGCCTGAAGAACACCCCAACCCACACAGCATAGTGGGAAAACGTGAAAAACGTCCCGGGACACACAGGATCGTGGGAAAACAGGAAAAACGTGGCAGCATGCACGGCATGATGGGAAAACGTAAAGAACGTCCCAGCACGCACAGTAAGGCAGGGAAAGCCTGAAGAACTCCCCAGCAAGCATGGCATGGTTGGAAAACGTGAAAAATGCCCCAGCACGCACGGCATGGTGGGAAAACATAATTATAACGTCCCAGCATGCACAATATGGCAGGAAAGCCTGAAGAACGCCCCAGCATGCCCAGCATGGTGAGAAAACGGAAAGAACGTCTCAGCATGGAAGGCATGATGGGAAAACGTGAAGCATGCCCCAGCACACAGAGCATTGTGAGAAAGCATGAAGACACCCCAGCACACACGGTATGGTGGGAAAACGGGAAGAACGTCCCAGCAAGCCCAGTGCACGGTATGGTGGGAAAAGTATAAAAAGCATCCAAGTGCACAACGTGGGGCATGAAGGGAAACCTGTCTTCTTAGAAAGATGCCACTCAGAAGCATAGGGGCACGCGTCCCTCAAGAGACTTTTCAGGCATTATGTTAAAGATAGTTGAATAGTTTTGTTCACCATGGTGAGTCTCTGTAGAACAGGCATAAAGGAGCAAATGTAACCAGCAAAGTAAAACTTTATCCCGTCAGCTTGTTAGGAGCTGAAAGTGCAGTGGGTTGGTGCACGTGGATGTTATAGCCAGGCCAATTCATGCTTACCCAAGGGAGGCTTGTGGCTGGGGAATAAGTGGTTGTCCATGTGGCGGATCCTGGAGGTCCTCCCTACCTACCCAAACCGTGCTGGAAATTCCACCAACAGAGAGTTATCCCAGGAGACCTGGGAGACCTGAGCCTGATGCAGCAATGGTAGGTGGCAAGAACTTTCCTCACAACTTCCCGTCATTTCTGCATAATACTCAGAAAATGTGGACAAGTTTTCAGATGTGACTTCTTTACTGTTCCAAACTCTAGTACTGATTTATTATTCCTCCGAACTACATAAGTATTCAATTTATTTGTTAATTTTTTTTCATTAGCTTTAGGGGTACAAGTAGTTTTCGGTTACATGGATAAATTGTATACTGGTGAAGTCTGGGATTTTAGTGTGCCCATCACCGGAGTAGTGGACATGGTACATAATATGTAGTTTTTCATCCGTCACCCCCTCCCAACCTCCCCTCTTCCTAGTCTCCAATGTTGTCGTTACCAGTGTATGCCTTTGCATACCCACAACTTGGCTCCCACTTGTAAGTGAGAACATGTGGTATTTGCTTTTCCATTTCTGAGTTACTTTGCTTAGAATAATGGCCTCCAGTTCCATCCAATTTGCTGCAAAAGAAATTATTTCATTCTTTTTTATGGCTGAACAGTATTCTATGGTGTGTGGGGGGTGTGTATACACGCGCATATATATATATACACACACACATCTCAAATTTTCTTTATCCACTTATCTATTGATGGGCATTTAGGTTGAGTCCATGTATCTGCAGTTGTGAACTGTGCTGTGATAAACCTAAGTGTGCCGGTGTCTTTTTGATATAATGACTTCTTTTCCTTTGG